GTGTCCACACAGAGATATAAGTCATGAAGTTTTAACTTTTTTTTAAAGATTTATTTATTTATGCATATAGAACTGGGGTACAGGCCGGTGGTGCAGGGGCGGTGAGAGGATCACTGGAGACAAAGTGGGGAGCAGAGCAGGCCGACTGATGAAGTACACTGTTGAGGGAAGCAGTTAGTCTGCTGCACCATGTGGGTCACTTCTGGGGTGGAGATTGAACTCATGTTGAAGTGGCTTTAGCTTCTTAGTGCTGTGCTTTTAACATGCTGCACCACCAGGGAGGGCCTAGTTTTAACTTTTTACCCTCCTTTTCCCTCAGAATCTCCCAGTTGCCCACCCTCTGCTTCTTCTTTTGCTTCTGACTTTGAGAATTAAGTAACTTTTCCATCTCCTACAGAGATAACGTTGAGTTTGGACACTTGATCCCACTTGGTTCCTGCCCCAGCAGGCTTTCTTTAAGCTCCAAGTCTAACATATCTTGCTCTTCTCTAGTATGGTCTTATCTTGCAGACAAAAATCATGTTTCCCCCAGCTGTGTTTTTGCTATTTTCTTTACAGTGATAATCTCCTTCACACAGAAAAGTTGGTATTATTAATACAGCCCTATTTATAATGTGTTATTTATATTGAACCAAGGTGGGACTTTTCATTGTCTTTCTAGACCCACTTGACTTCTGTCTTGGAATTCTGTTAGTTCAACTTATTTAAACTAAACAGTTGTCTAAAAGGAATCTATTCATAAACATTATTTTTAAATGCTTTTTCTTCTTCTGCTTTCTATCTTGATCTACATTTCTTCAAAGGCTGAGTGGCTAGGGTGACTTGGTCACTTCCGCCCATGTTGGAAGAGCGTATGTGTGAAACTGCTGAACTGCACATCTCTGAATGGTAGTTCCTTATGACACTGAAAGAGACAACCCTTTCCTGAAGAACATTGACGTCAAGTCCTGGCAACAGGTGGCTTTCATTATCAAATGAGTTGTTAAACTTATCACCCTAAGACTATCAGGCACAAGCTGGTGACCTTACAAAATCAAGTTATTTTGCAAGGAAACAAAAGAGTGCCACTAGATAAGGTGGAGGAGCTAGACATGGCTCCCTTTGAGAGATTCTGAAGACTGTCTATGGGAAGAAGGAACCTGTTTTGGATTGGTTGCTGTTTTGAGGTGGGAAAGGGAAATGAGGCAATTTACTAGGAATTGGGTGCTGTCATGAAGTGAAGGTGGCTGAGACATTGGGTATTCCTAGTAATAAATTAAAACAGCAAGCATTCTAAGGCATTGTTGGGCAGTAATCACCCCCAAAGTAGGTAATTATGGTAAATTATAACTGCTGCCCAACCTTGGCACAAACAGTGTTTTCTATTAACTTTGCAGCTGGCTTTATTTGTGTGTGTCCTCTGAATTTGATTAGTGGCAGAGGTTCTTTTCTCTTTTCAGTCCAAGCTGATTTTTGATCTTTCAATTCTGAGCAGATTTTGAACTCTTTCAGCATCCTGGACTCTAAACTCACCTGATCACTCACCAGATACATTTCTCCACTGACAGTAAACCCATAAGAATGTCAGAGTCATCTTGATTTAACTTAAAAGAAACCTCTAGAGCAAACATCAATCAAACCCAAATTTGAGACAAAGCCATGTGATTTGTCTAATAGGTTCCAAATTGGGATATTTAGAACTTTTCCAAATGCTGTACCACTCTGCATGTTGATGATGCCACTGCCCTTGTTAATAGGTTAATAGGGAAAGATTTAAGCAAATCTTCACCATACTCCAAAAGCTCCTCTTTGGACATAGCATTGTATTGGTAAAAGGAAAAGATTTATAGGATATGACGAGAAGCCAGAGTATCCACAGCATTGTATTGGAAGCTAACCCTTATCAGACTCTTTTCTACCTTTCCATTTCCTCTCTGTCTTCACATGTATTTTGACTTAAGCCACCGTCAGACCAAATCTTGTATTTGAATTGTCCATGCCTTTGCTTATACTATCCTTCATCCCGAAGGGATCCTTCTGCCCCATCAAAATCCTATTCCCATTTGTCAGATGCATGAACCTTTCTTTACGAAATCACTTGTTAACCATCTTGTTAGAACTACTAGTTTCTTTGGTGATCCTGTAACCCAGTGCTGCTGTCTACCAATGATTTTGTTCTGTTTCTTAAGCATGCAGTGCCATTTTCTCCTTGATTTAATATCCTTGATATCTGGGGTGGGCAGGAGTTTATTTTACCTACATTCTATGTCTTAGAGCAAGTTCTTAGCTTAGAGTTTGTGACTTCATTGTGATCCTTTGGAAGTAGGGAAAGGTGGGACAGCTTGTGACACTTTATATGTAAATATGTATGTACATGTTTTTATAGTTATGTGTGTGTTTACTTCACTGAGAAAAGTCCACAAATTTCACCAGATACTTAAGGAGATGTGTAACCCGAAGGAAGTTAAGAATAACTATTAGAATATGAGACTGTTGTGGGATGGGCATTCTGCCACTCAGACAGATGGGGGAAATGACTATAAGCAACCAAGAATCATGAATGTGCATCAAATCTGGGTGCTTAGGGCATGGTACCCAGCTGGGCAGGTGGAGAACGCCATCCACCCAAAGCTGCCAAGGGCTATTAGCCAATACTGATTAAACTCTGGACTGCACTTGCATTGACTTTTGGAAATTGCTGTAAAATCCAGTCCTCCCCCGTCACGGCACAGAAGCACAGTAGTTGGCTGAGTTTATCCACATAAATGCCCTGGCTGTGCCTTTGTTGAAAAGCTAAGTTGGCAGTGGCAGCAATGCTACTTGTCCTTGTCTACTTTTTCTATTCCCAGATAAATTTTAGACTGATTAATAATCATGCTTCACTCAGCCACAGGCACAATGAAGTAGACTAGAATTCTGGAGGGAAAAATAGTGCACAATGTCTATCTTCTCTCCATTCTTACAACAAACAGAAAATCTCCTCCAAAAGGTTGCATGACACCATGTCTCCCTTACTAGGCCTGTGTGTTACAATATGCTCAGCATTTAGCACTAGTGATAGGACTGGGTGACTTGACCTTCAGTGAAAGGGTAGATCAACCCTTAACTTCCTATCCTAAAAAGGCTTATGATTTTTTTCTGAGAATGCTTTCCTTGGCACATATCTCTTATGTTCCTCACACAAAATTCCCTGTGGAATTGACTTGGGTGACAGGAGACAGGTTAACTCATGGGAGAAAAGGGGGACATACAAAATAGGCTTTTTCCAATTGTCATGTGAATTCATGTGCTCATGAACTAATTTTCATTTTAGCACTCATTGAGATCATTTGCCACATATTACTCCCTCTCACAGGGGTACGCTGAGATACCAAATAATATGCAATTCAGGTACCTAAATTTAGTTGGTGGGGTATTTTTCCCCCAAAGTGATAAGTTGTCTGGGTTATTTCTTTTCAAATAAGACAAGTTACAAAAATCCTACAATGTCAAATGTATAAGGAAAACAAATGATAAATTCTTCGTAAAGTTATTGTGACAGACTTCCAACCCAGGTATGTATGAATGGAAGCATTTATTTCTTAATCTGAATGGCAATAAAACTTGCTTGGGGTTAAATTAAAACTACCATCTAGTATGAGGAAATATTCTAGGACACTAATTAAAAAAATTGAGTGTGCGTTAGAATCTCATGGAAGGCTTGTTAAAACACATATTGCTGGGCTTCACCTCTAATGTTTCTAGCCAATAGATTTGGGGTAGCACTGGATATTTATTTCTCACAAGTTCCCAGGTGATATTGATGTTGCTGGTGTGGAGACCACACTTTGGTAGCCACAGATTTAGGTCTTTAAGGTTACAAGGTGCTTGTCATTAATTCTGAAACCAGGGCATAACTCGTTTAAAAATAACTGGCAATACAGGTATCACAGGGGCCTCAAACTAGCTGTACTGTATGTGATGAAGGTGCTGTGGTGAGAGCCATCTCGGGGTTGGCAGGATTTAATTTGGCCCTCAAGCGTGGAGCTTATGTAGATGACCTGAGTGAAGATGGAGCTTATTCTAGGAAGGGTAAATGAATCGAGTTAAGACTTCAATGCCATCCCATAAGGAATTCAGATTTTATGAAGCAAGTAATAGTTCGTTCATCTACACATTCCCTCCCCTTGTGGCATGTGGCATGTGGCATGCTGGCATAAAGATCTGCTCCCATATTAGGGCAAGTGTGTGTGTGGTGGTAGTGGTGGGTTGTGCTGGAGGGGGTGGTTAGTGGGTCTCTTGTGATTGATGAAGACACTACTTTAGAACCTGAGGTGGATTATTTTTTCTTAGACCTATTTTTTGTAAGTGGTAGGTTTGAGCAAGTTGGCAACTTTTGGATATACCCTGAAATATTAAGGAGAGCTTTCTTGGGTATGCACTTTGGTTGTTTGCAGGAATAGGAAAAATCTTGAAAAGTTGGTCCAAACTGTCACAGAGAGGGCCCTGATGCGGACAATTCAGTGCTTTTTTTCAGTCTTTAAGATGCACAGATAAAAGTGATTCGGAAACCCTATTAAAATGCAGACACCGGTTCAGCAGGCCCTTTATCATTCATTTCTAACAAGTTCCCAGGGGGTGCTGATGCTGCCCTTGGAGCGCTCGCTGAAGGAAGGGACCAGAGGCCATCAGAAAGCTCTGGGGAAAGAGAGGTCAGTCGACCATCTCTCCTGATGCTAGAATAGTTGCCCCCCCAAAGGAAAGTCTCCCGGGTCCTCCTTAAGAGAAGGGCAGTGGAGGATGTGGGGACAAAGAAAAGGTCGGCTAGAGCAGAGTTGGGTAGGGGGAGCGAGGGCGGGCAAAGGCGCCGAGCGAGGGCGTCAGGTAGAGCGCTAAGGTTGTCCGCGCAGGTTCCGGGCCTCCGCGCTCCTCCCCCCTCCCGCAGCGCGATCACTGCCCTTGCCGCCCTCGGCGGCTGCCAACGGGTCCGGGGCGCGAAGCGGAGACTGCGACCTCAACGGCCGGTTTCTCCAAGGCGCGTGGGGGCCGGCGGGCAGGCGGGCACCCACCTCGCCGCCCAGGCGCTGGGGCTCCCGGAAGCGGAAGGGGAGCGCGGCCCGGCCTGGGCGGCGGCACCGAGGAGGAGGCGGCGGACGAAGCGCAGTGAAGAGCCACTGGTAGCAGCGAGAGCAGTGGCGGCGCGAGGGACCCGCGGCGCCGGTGAGTGTGTGAAGGCGCGGGGGCGACCGGCGGCCCCCCAAGCCCGCCCCTGGCCTCGGTTCCACAGCGCCTCCCCCCACCCCGCCCTCACCTGGCCGGCGCCCTGCCCCCTCCCCGCACCTGCCCCTGCTCAGAACCCGGAATCTCTCCTCTGCGCCCTGCTCTCTCCCCTGGCCTGGCCTTTCTCAGAGCATCTTCAGCTGGAGCCGCAGCCTCCCGCCAACTGTGGTGGGTGGTTCCTGCTGTAGTCTAGATGATTTGGGGAGGCTTTAGAAAAATATTAAATCTGTGACCTGAGTTTGTCGCCTGTGTGTGTGCACTGTTTTCTCTGCATCCCTCCGGGAGCTCTGTTCGAGGATCCAGGATTTTTCTCTGCTGTCGCAGCACAGCCTTTCATTCATTTCCAGAACGTTGGTGTGAGGCTGCAGAAGACTAGCCGGAGGAAAAATAGTTTGCTCCTGTTTTAACCTCCTGCCTCCCACCACAAGAGTGGTTTTGAGAAAATGGCTATGGGTGGTAGCAGTTTGCACTTGTTATCATTTACTGTTAGTAGGTCGCTGGATTTTAACTGGAGAGTCCATTTAAAGTTGTGGTCGTTCTCAAGCTATATTTGGGTCACATTTTAAGATCCTTGTGAGTCAGCGGAGGATGTCTGTATCTTCAGGGCCGACAGGACCTCACCACTTATTACTTAAAAATATTGCAATATAGCAATCCATAGAAGTACAAGAGGAAAGAAAAATCAAGGTCATTGTGGGCTGGCCATAATTCAGTGTAAGGTTACAGTCTAGAGGACTGAAGATAATTAACTGCAAGTTATAAAGATATGTCAACTGGATCCTTGGCCTACTATGCTAATATGTGTACTTTCACAATTCATTACCTTCCTTGGAATACAATGACGACAGTAGCAGTGCTAACTATTTGATGAGCGTTTAATAGGTGCCATCCCTGAACCAAAAGACTTGGTGTTATGTTTTGTTAACTCTTTCCCAACTCTTGAGTTGAATTGTTTTATTAAAGATACATTCAGAGAGGTGTGGTTTTAATTGTGCTATCTCTTAATTGCAAAAAGATTTTTGAAGAAGAGGTGAGAGGAAAAATTTTTCAGGAAAAATCAAGTGAGATTGGGGGTTGTAGAAAGCAAAACTAGATTCTGGTCACATTGCTGTCACCATCACCATCTAGCTATGCATTCATGGCTAGGTAAGTGATCACTCTGTGACTCATCTATACAAAGGGAAGCCAGACTAAATCTTTGAAGGGTCGTTTTTTGCTTTCCAAAATGCCAACATGTTAAAGGTACCTTTAAAGCATGTATCTGAAGATGCATTAGTAAAATTATATCAAAATATAACTAAAAATGGTTAACTATAATCTTGGGACAGTTTTTGCCATAGTACTGTTCCAGAACTCCTTTTTCTAAGTATAAAGCAGTAGTATTGTATTAGATTCCTTCAAACTGTTGTGATATCTGTTAAACTTAACATATTTTAGAAGCTTTTGAAAAAGAAGCTGTAGGTGGAATAAGTGAAAGAGTGTATTTTAAATAAAATAGATAACTGCCATATTGGCTACTTTTGGGGTATTTTATTTAACGAAAGGATTGAAACTTATAAAAATGTATGTGTAAAACTATTAGCAGATTTTACAACAAGAACTAACCAGTGGATTATGAAATTTTTATTACTTGGCCTACAACTTGATTTCTTAATTCATAAGGACCTATTCAGAACCTGTGGACAATCATCATGGATAAAAAAAAAATGCCTTGGATTAGTGAAGAAACGAATTATAAAGTCTAGTAATATCTTCCTAGATTTCTTTGTTTTTCAGGAATTATAATTGAATCTGAGTCAGTGACTTAGTGTCAAAACCTAAATCGTGTTGGTATTAGTACACAATGGATAGTAGAGGAAACTAGGAAGTAGTTCCCTAAGTTCAGTTTCACTTTTTTTTTTTTTTTAAGATTGATTTATTTATGCTTACAGAACAGGGGTACAGGTCAGAGGTGTGGTGGGTGAGAAGATTCATCAGACACAGACTGGGGGGCAGAACAGGCAGATCTACTGAAATACACTGCTGAGAGGAGCAGGCCGGTCAGGAGAGGTCTGCCAAGCCATGTGGATCAGCTCCCTGATGGGTGATCCAATTTGTGCTACAGTGGCTTCAAAGAGCTACATAATGCTGTGCTTTAACCCGTTGTGCCACCAGGGAGACCTCAGTTCAGTTTCACTTTTTAAAAGAATGAGGGCATCTCATATTGTTTTAGTAAACTTTTTAGTAAACCATTAGATGACTCAGATTAAAGTTTTCAAATGCATTATTAGATGTACATGGCAATTTAGCAGAATACTGACAATTTAGTAGAATATTAGTAATCTTAGAGTAATCCATGCATTAATACTATTTGAACTATTTTGAATCAATAAAAATTACAGGGTAAAGCTCTAATTGGAAATGGACAGCAGTTTTTCTTAATGTCAGACAAATGATTTGGGGAGGTAAACATCTTTGGTAAGTTGAGTCAGTTTACGTTAAGGAACACAGCATAGATGTAAGCAGCATTGCTCTTGGTAGTTCCCTGACCAAAAATAGTGTAATAGTAGTTCATTTTATTTCCCAGGACAAAAATTTGCTTTTTCAGAATTTGTCTTTCGATTTTCAGGCTTTCTCTTTCTGTAATTTTTCCTTTCTTGTTGATTAAACTGCCCACTTAAAAGAATGACTAATATGTATTCTCATCAGCTATTTGTTGCTGCTTCCATGAAAGACTATTTGACCATCATTCTTTACTGCTCGTTGATTTTACTTTAATTCTGACTTAACATGCTCAAATATGATTTCAGCCATGCTTCTGCTTTTAAGTCTTCTATTTGTATGGAATGAATAACTTTTTTTTTTTTTTTTAACCTACTGCATGTTTTTCAGTTTCAACAAGTAAGGAGACTTTTTTCTTTTAGTGTTGTTAGTGTTCTGAAATCCTGCCTGCTTTGATTAAGCCTGGTGTGAAGGAAATTGGATTCAGTCTCTTCCCTCTCACCCATTCCCCATAACTTGTCTTGGTTCAGTGGGTACTGGAGTTAAGTAGATGACTTTGACTTCTCTTCCCTTTGGGAAGACCATGTGTGATTCATGCCCAGGAATACCAGAGCCTCTTCCTTTCTGGCTTTTACTGTGTCTGGAGCTTTTTCCTTATGCTGTTTTTGAGCAGAGGTTATCTGTGGCCTTTTTGTCCCAACCTGACATTTAATTCCTGTTTTCCTCTTTCCTTTCCTGCTCCCTTTCCCACTCCCCTATCTTCTTAAACAAAAATTCCCAAGTAGACATTTTGAACTGACTGAAACAGTGTTTGGTAGTCTTCACATCATCCCAAACTTTCTAGTTTAATTCTTGTTAGGATGTTCTGATTGGTCACTGTAGTGCTCTGTTTTTAATAGAGATATTTTATATTTCACTCATGTGGCGGACACCTAGTGAAGAGCATGGCTTGTGATCAGTGTTGCCCAGAGTTTAAAAGAACTTGAACTACGAAGTAGATTCTTGATATCATTGAAGGTGCAGGTATGTTGCACTGATACTTTGCCCACCCACATTTTCAGTCTTCTGCAGAACCTAGCAGTTGGGTAAGAATTCTTGCTTTACTTGTGCATTCTTCTTATCTTCTGAAACTATCTTCTGAAAGTATTCTGAAAGTTGTGATTTTTTTCCCTCCATACTTAATTCCTTAAGATTCCAGACCTGCTTTTACTTGAAAGAGATTTAAATTTACAGGCTTTAGTTTAGTCACTATTTGACTACTGTTTTAGGAACAATCTCTATTTTGGGGGTTTCTCTTGCCGATAGTTGAAGTATAAATTCCCTGTTAGCTTATAGTAGCAAAGTAGTTGAAAACCTCTATTACCTTAGGTTTCTTGTGTTTGACAAGTAGTCCTCAGACTAAGAAAGTAGATAGCTGGGTTATATTAAATTATATCACCTCTTTATTGAGGGTCCTAGAAATATGTTTTGTTATGGACTTTGTAAGACTAGAAGTAAAACTTGTCTTTAAGTTTCCTTTACTCCTCTTCCCCCAGCCCCTTTGAAGTTACCATTTTTTGGTTTATTATTTGCTAGGCAATTTATCATTTAAGGATTACAACAACTTCACAAATTAGTATTTTTATCTCCACTTTATAGTTGGAGAGAGTTAGCATCATCATTTGAAGATGGCGCTCTCTTTAGTATTTGTACAAAACTAATTTCCTACTCTGTTACAAATCTGCTGAATAATACCTATATAATATTTAAAAATTGAATTGCCTCATTATTACAGAGATGGTTATAATAACCATAGACTCTGTAGACTGATGTTTTAGGGAGAATTATTTAGCTATCACACGTCCACTTTTCAGAGCAGATGAAATCAAAGTTAACTATCTGCAGAAACATATAAAAACGTGTACAGTTGTAATAATGTTTTTAAAATTCATTCTAACGTACAACCGTAAGGTTTGAATTTTACATATTCGTATGATACATAAACCGTTTTCTTTTGGCCCTGTGGATAAAAAAAATTGGAGGGGAGATTTGTTTGAAAACTTCCTCTGTAAATTGTTATGTTTTTCCAGACATGACACTGTTATAAATATTTAATGATATGGTTCTGAAACTTTGGATATTCAGTGTTATTCCAGAATTTCTTGAATTCTAAGCCAAGTGTTGCTTTTAAACCACATAGATGAGATTTGATTCCACAGTGAAGCGGGTGGATTTGCACTTTTTTTGGATACTGTGGTTGCAATGTAACTCCTATAATTGTAATCACAAACTTAAAGTAGAATTTTGCCCTTGATGTTTAGCCAGTGTTTGGGGTTTGACTTGGAGATGGTTGACCTGTGCTATTTACCTAATTATGTTACTGACAGCAGCTACTGTTTTGCTACAACATTAGTAGGCCACTCTAGAGTCAGGGCCTTAGCAGTGTTATTGACTTTGGGCATGTTTCAGAGCATTGTGTTGTGTACATTTATTGTTTTCTGGAAGAAGATGAATTCATCTATTTACCATTACAGTAGTAGCTCCTTCACTTTGTTCCAGATTTTGTCTCTGAGAAGTGAAGGTAGGACCAAGCAAACCACTGTAAATTTGTTTAGAGGCTTAGAGTAGAAACAAATACATTGGACAGTCAGCCACTCGTGGACAATAGGAAAACTACCATGGGAGAAAATACAGGTTAAAAAAAAATCTGTAAAGGGAATGGAAATGTAATGATAATAATTTTATTGAATCTTTCACATCCTCAGGATGTAATAGTTTATTGCTATAATGAACAGAGTCTGCTTAACAAATTCATAATCTCCCCTGCCCTTTTTTTGTCCTGAAGAATGGTACCAACCTCTACTAGTCTCTAAGAAACTTGGGAGTCATCCTAGGATATGTCCTTTCCCTCTCATTGATCACAAAGTCCCATAAATTTTACTCATTAACTTCTTAATCTTTTTCCTGCGTGTCTCCCATTTTAAGTGTTCCTGCCTCACATCCACGATCCTCAATCTTCTTAAAAGTTTGAGGTCCTTACCATGTATCCTCATTTCTCACCTCGATAATTAGTACACCTAGCTTACTTCATATAGCCAGGCTGTTCTTTAAAGTGCTGCTTCTCCCTTCCTCCTCTTGCTCCCTATGCAGTTAACATTTGTAATTCATACTATGAAGAAATTTCTTCTACCTAAAATCCTTCAGTGGTTTCCCACAGTGTGAAGGGCGAAGTCCAAACTCATTGCCGTGGTTTAATAGTGCTTTTCACTCTTAGTATTGCTTTCTGTTTGTGGATCTTGAATCAGTTTGGTAGACTGTGAACAGCATTATAAATATATTTTTTATTAAAGTGAAATAGAATGAAGGAACATATATCACATGTAGAAAGGTTACCATCAATTCATTAAACTTGTCAGGTATGTTTTCATGTATTTATACTCAGGTGAAGTATATATAGCTTATGTATTTTATATAGTTTTGTTTGTACTAGTAATGTTACGATATGCATGTGTTAGAGTTGATTATGAAATGGTTATACATGCTTTACTTCTTCCTTATAAGCAATGACTCTGGTCTTTGAAGTTTGCTTAGACAGTGTTTGCTTTTGCTTTTTGTCCTTATGCCTTTGCTTATTCTGCTGCCTTGTTCAGAAGTGTCTCCATCCGCCATTCTTCACCTAGTTAACTCATAGGCATCACTCTCTCTAGAAATAATTTCCTGATGGCAGTTTATTGTAAGAAATTTTGTGAAGTAACCCAGGAAACACATGTATTAACATAACTGGAAAAGTTCCACAAGCCATTTCCCTTCATATATGAGAGGTTTTCATGCTCTCTAATTCTTGTCCTCCCTGATGTTAATCTTGTCTATTTACTAGTCTGTTTTTATTAAGGATAGCACTCATCTCTTTTTTACATATACTCAGTGCCAAAGTATAGTATACATTCGATAGATGTTAATTGAATTAATGAAATTTGGGGTCACGATAGTATTTAGAATGTTTTAGAGTGTTTAAAGCTTAAGTTGTAGAAACCAACTTTTACTACTGATTTTCTTAAAAAAGGTTAATTTTTCTCGAATCATTTTAAGCTAAAGTTTGCCTCAATTTAAACTCTTTACTTTGTATTTTATCAGTTGTAATTAGGTTATACTTGCCTTACATGTTGATAGATATTACATTGCATTCTGTCACATCACATCAGTATTACCATTTTGGGATTATTAGTCAAGGAAGTTTGAACCCTAAAACTATATACATAGTGAAAATTTGGGATTTTTGAGAATTGGGTCGTTTCTAAAGAGGTTTTGTGTATGATGGTAATTTGATGAAAGTTTTGAGGTTATGGGATAAGACATGAAAATGTAGAATCAGTAGAGATGAGATTTTTTTATGAGGTTAAAATTTTTATAACTGATATTTCACAATAAATAAATATTAAAATAAAAGGTAATCATAATTTCTTAATGTATAAAAAAGAATATTGATGATCTGTTTAATATTTTTATCTTTATGAGAGATCTTTTTTTTTTTAACCATTAATAGATTCTCGTGAAGAACTGCTATTGAGGAGAGATCCATTTGCTGGGATTTAATTAAAAAAAAAAAATGAATCAAGACACAACCTCTAAATGCAAGTACCAGAGAAATTGCCACACATCTCAGTGAATTCGCAAATGGTAAGTCTGCATTTAATTTTACACTGGGATGGATTTCTTTATATGTTACTTAGATCCTTGAAGTCTTATGTTAAGATGCATTTAATAATTGTTCGTTAGCAAAAAATAATTGTAGTTATTTAAAAAAATTCTTATTTTTAAGTAAATGTTTTCTTAAATCTTTTTTCATAGAAAAATAATTTATAATTATTATAATAGTTTTGGAAACACCTTTTTGAATTGTATATGTTATATGACTTTACAAATGATGTTTTTGCGCTACATTAGCTTAAAATATCAATTTTAAAAGTATTTAATATAAGGATAGTATAGAGTAGTACGGGAGGCTGAAACATTTTATTTCTGTTTGTAATGTAGTCAGACTTGCTGTGCTGTCTTTATCTTGGTTAACTGAGAAAAATTTGGAAGCACATAAATTTATTAATAATCTTAAATACATATACAAGATGTGAAAACTTCTCATTACTCTTAATTTCCTCAAGACAGTGATGGTAGCTGCTAACACCTTGGTTGATGTGTTTTCTTCTGCATTTTCTCCCTCATACATATACAGAAATCATTTGTACTTGTAATATTTCCTAATGAAAAAAGTCATATAAATGTGTACCCTCCAACATTTAATTATGAAAATTTCAAATAGAAGAGTTAAAAAAATACTCAATTAAATGTTTACTACAATTAATGTTTTAGTAAACTTCATCACATACTTATCCAGCTCTCTGTTTATCCATCAAACCACTTTATTTATTTTTGGACCCATTTCAAAGTAAATTGCAGACTTAGGTACACTTCCTCCCCCTCCCTCTAATATTTCAGTGTACAGATCATTAACATTCAATATTGGTTTATAGGGTTTTTTTTTTTTTAAGGTAAATTTTCATGCCAAGGAATGTACTGACCTTAAATCTTAATCATAAGATTACTGAGCTCTTTTGTTCTTCAGTTGTGTCTCTCTTTTAAGACAAAGATTTTTGTCAACACTCTCAGAAATTTTCCTATGCCCCTTGTCTGTCTCTGTCCTTTTCTTCCGCTAGAAATTGCTAATAAGATTCATCCCTTCTGAGACATATCAGTGGTGCAGATGACTGTGACTGTTGTTCTCCTTGCCATCCAGTATCACAGGGCAAAGTTTCTCAGTTCTAGCCAACCTTCCCAATAAGCACCTGGTGGGTTTCCTGGAAGAAAACCCTTCAGATTTCTGAGACCTCCAGAATTTGTTCATCCACTGGCACATGTTCTGTCTTTAGCAATTTATGTGAGGGCTCTTAGTTGAGTTTTCTTATTGGTACTCAGTTGTTTATGTCAAAAGAAACAGAAACTCAATATTAATGGCAGATTGGTCAGATTATTGTAAAGGTGAGACAAGAACTTAAATGATAAAAGGTTTCTAGATATTCTTTATAGTGAAACAGGAACAGAATGTCTAATTATATCTTTTGGCTAAAGATTATCAGGAATAATTAGATGACGTTGAGAAATTCTGTGCCACAATAGCAGGTCAGTTTGTGTTGGTAGAAGAGAATCATGAAAAGTTAGCTTGGAGAACTTAATGGAGAAATAATTTAGATTAAGGCAGATTTCATCTCTTCAAGAAACTCATGGTATCAGAATATAGCAGCAAAATATGTAATCAGAAAAAATTTGAGGAAGACAAGAAGTTTTAGGATCTTTTTAGTAGTAAATACGAAAATAGTTAAATGTCAATGGGAAAAAAAAAACAAAACGCTACCTCAGAGAAATGTAATTCTGGCTAAGAAATAAGGATGAAAAGATTATGGGTTTTTGTTCAGATGCTGAAAATGGAGGAAAAGAAGATCTGTTTATAGAGGAAATGATGGAAGATGCTTCTGACATTAGTAAAATTACTGACACTGATAGTAACTCTCCATCCACATTCTAAGGAGAGCCAAGTGACAAGAGGATTGAAACTGCAGAGATTTTTATGATTCTTATTTTCTCATAGGACATGTGAAAACAAGGAAACTAAAATCAACTCTGCCACAAAGTTATTTTTAGGCTATACAGAATAAAGATACTACTGATTTGAATGCATTTTTCCCTAATGAAAATGACTAGCAGAGCCTGAAAACAAATCAAATAAACAAAACTGAAAAGTTTCTAACTAAAAAATGACTACCAGCCTAACAAAAGAAAAGCAGAAAATATGTTGGGTAAATAACAGTTTAAAGTAATGTTGACAAATGCTCTGAGTGGTCAACTGAGCTGAAATATCACTGTGGTTTTGACTAAAACAAAATGACTTGTATATGAAACTGTTCAGTTGTAGTCACATTTCCAACTTTTTCTGATGTAATAATGAAATACTACTGTTAATATTTGTGCTTAGGAAATACCTCATTTAAGATAACTACCCTTTATTTCAAAGCTAGCTCCTTTGCCCCTTAATTAGATTTGTCTTTCTTCCATAAATCCTTTTCATCAAAATTCTTGTACCTGCAAAACTCTTCCTTATAGAATACAACTTATGTGTTACACAAGCTAGACTTACCCCTTGTAATTTTTTTTGTACACTCCAAAGTTTGTAATTTCTTTTAAATTTGAGATAGTAAATGTCCAAACTGTAGTGAAATTTCAGCTTATGTGTTACCATGATTTAGATTGTTTTTCCAAAAAGAACAAAATTATAAGGATAAAAATTCAGATATCATGACTTTTTTTATGTTTAGAACTGGAGTATTTTTTTTCTTTCATTTTTTTACATCATTCTTCATTTTGTGCATTTTCATCTCAGTTGTAATCCTCAAAGGCTTCCCACCACCAGTTCACCTGTGTGATATCACCACAGTCCAGTGCACTCTTTCCACCCCAGTTCCAATCCCATTCTCACTTCTCCACTCCCATAACATGTCTCTGGTTTATGGTTGTTCATTGTTTTAATTTTTACTTTTACATTTGTTTGTCTCTCTTTTTATTTTCCTCCTGATCTCTCATGTTATGAGTGAAACCATCTGGTATTTTTCTTTCTTTCTGGCTTCTTTCACTAAACATTGTCCATTCCAGCTCCATCCATGTTTCTGCAGAAGGCAAGAGTTTATCTTTTTGACTGCTGAGTAATATTCCATTGTGTATATGTACCACATCTTTTTAATCCCGTCTTCTAATTTTGGGCACTTGAGTTGATAGATACCAAGAATCTTAAGACACTGTTTTTCACTTTGTTCAAGTTTTGTTTCCAGGCATTGTGTCATACACTTGTTGCCATTTCTGTTTTCCAAATGTCTGGTGTGTGCTACAATTAATGAATTGAATAATTAAAACCAAAATTACTTGTGAGTCAAAAAAAAGCCTCACAAAAGATTTGTCCCCTTCCTCCGTAGATTTTGCCTATGTAACTGTCTTTATTGACTCAACACTATGTGTTATGGGTAACCATAAATAGATTCTAAACATAACTCTTTAGAATTCCTTGTATACCTCTACTTTTTTTCTTTTCAAATTGCCTTAGTGTGGAAATATATTTGATCATTCCCTTTCTCTTCTAGGACATTCAGGTTGTGCCATACTTTTTGTGATCACAAAATAGTGTTCTATAGACCATTCTTGTGTATATATATATACCTGCACGTTCTCATGAATACTTTTATAGTGGTACTAGAAATAAAAGTTCTGTGTCAAAGAGTTGACATTTCAATAGACAATGCCAATTGGCTCTCCAGCCACAGCCACTGGATTTTTTTTCCTTTTGTATGTATTGATGTACTTATTTGCCTCCTATCATTCATACAATATTTTTTCCAGGCATGCTAGGTCTTTTTCATGTTTTGTTGTGTTTTTAACTTAAGAAATTTTATTGTTTTTCTGGTCAAACATGACTATCGTCTTGTTTGTGAAGACCCTTTCATTCTCATAGTATAAAAGCTCTTGCTGCTTTATTCTAGTATCTTTGCCTTTATATTTAATTTAAAAAAGAAAAAGAAAAAAACTGAGGAGCCATGAAAAATTTGATTTATAGTATAAAATTCAGATTGACCTTACATTATGAGTTGCATTTCAATAGAGTAAAGTAGGGACATTTCAAGTGGGAGTAATGGGGAAAGGAAAACATTTTTCAGATTTATGAAACAGTAGTAAGACCATCTTAGCTGAGATGGAGAGTCATATATAAGTATATAGGTTGGTGATATATCTTTACTAGGTTTCTTATAAGTGATTTTGACTAATTTTTATAATTTTCTGAAATCTGATGTTAGTTTTCTGTCACATAGGAGTTTTCTGTTATTTTCATTGTGACTACAGTATTTTTAAAAAATAATATTTTATTCCCTTCCTGAGGAAAATTTGTAGTGAAACTTAGTTTCCTGGAAAGGCAAAATAGGAAAGGAAACCTCCTATTAGATAAGTTTGAACATTGTAAATATTTGTGTGATCTCTTTTATTGGAGTTGAATTATAATTTCTTTTAAGAAAAGCTTGTGCTGTAGTAATTTACATCATTAATGAAGTTACTCATAGCACTCAAGTACCAGATAGCAATCTTAAAAAATGTTGAAGTACCAGTGTGTCCACTAGTTACATCAAAGTTTGAGTTATGAGCTCACCATTTAATATATAAATTAACATGTTGGAATCAGCAGCTAATGAAAGTATTTTACAAATGCCACCCTTCAAACCTAGAGCAGCCATATGCTTGGTTCACTTGTTGCTCAGAGTGTGTAATAGTTTCTGTTCACCCTTAGCCACGCCTGGTGGATATTAATGAGTGAGCGACCCTGCCGTTCTCCCAGTTATGTCTCTGGTTGTAATCTGATTTGGTGCTCCGGAGGACTACTGTTCTTGTCTGCCATCCACTTGTAAGGATATATGCTACTGATTTTTACATTCAGGTACTTTTAAAAAATAATTAAAAACTTATTTGATTTTTGTTTTATATTTTTTTATCCTTATCCTTGCTCTCTTTTCCTTGGGGATGCTTGTTTTAGAATTTGTTGTCTCTATATTTACGTCCAGGAGAAAAAAACCAGATTTTAAACTATTCACTATCAAAGAAAAACATACACATTTAAACTGCACTTTTCACAAATTTTTGTTGTGGGGAATTGTTTCATGATTAGAACTTCTCTTTAGTAGAGGAGAATAAAAATAATTCAAAAAATGAATATTTGATAATTTTCCTACTTTTTGCTGACTTGTTTGCTTTTCTGCTTCTAATATCAATACATGTAGAAATAAGTAATGAAATTATTGTTGCTATAAATTATTGAAATTTATATTATTTATTTTAGTCTTGAGTGGAACCAAAACATTAAAAAGGAGGAACATAAAGCTGGTACTATTGAGCATGTTGAATGTGAGCCTTGTGTCATTTATTTTATTACTTAATGGTTGGCAGAATAAAACTAACCATATTTTAAAATGTTTCTCTCTTTAGCTATGTAAAAAGCTATACAAATAAGTACCTTTTATACTTTACCTCCTTTAGGTACTGAAATAATAGCAAGCAAATTAAGCAGCATGGTTTATCTTCTGTGATTTTGCTCACTATGATACTCACAGGTCTTTTGATTTTCACATTAAAAAGGTAGTGAGGTTCCACTTTTACTTTTTCCAAGGTTCAGTTGCTATTCCTATTTTAGAATTCACCTGTAACTACTAATTGAGACATATCTAGTTTAAACATTTTGGTGGTGTTGAATTTGAGTAATTGTATTCTTTTTTTGCTACCCGATATTTGCAAGATCTAGGGTTAATAGGATGGGACTATCTCTTTAAAGTTAACATTGAAAGAGCTTCTGAAAGATGGTACCCTGAGGCTCGTCAACTGACGGCAGCTCTTAGAATGAAGTAGTCTGTAATCTATACTGAAAATATAGGCGTTATCTTTGATTATTTCATCTGTAACCCCTAATATGTAATCAATTAGTAAAATGTACTAATTTGATTCTAGCTGTTTCTTCAGTTGATCACTTCTCTGAAATTAATTTTGGCTTTTCATCTTCTCTTTGCCTAATTTAAGTCTGTCTTTGACGTTATTCTTAACACCAGAGCTGATGTTATTTAAGGTATGAATCTCATTTTGTTAGCTCCCTGCTTCAATAGCTTTCCAGTGTCTAAGAATGAAGTCTTAGTATTTTAACATGGCAACTTTATGTCCTGTCATGATAAAGCTATTTCTTTCTCACTCTTTACTCTCCCCTGAAAGTTTTGATTTGTGATAGCAGTTTTTAATAACCTTCATAATTTTTACTCTTGTATACCTCCTGCTTTTCTTTCTGCTGTCACTTTTCTTTGCTTGAGTAACTTTTATTCATCTTTTAGACTAGTTTCAGGTTTTATCCTCTACTAGAATTCTTACCCTGAAGTCCCCATCTTCAGTGATTCTTTCCACATCTCTGAATTTTACCAAGTTATTTAAAACCCATTTAATCAGTTTTTCTTCCATTAGACTGTTAGTTCCCCTAAGGAAAAACTATGTCTTGTTCATCTTTGTACTTACAATGTCTAGCAAGTAACTGTAGTGCCAGTTTGGTCTCATATGGAAGGTCTGGTATTAGTTATTTGTTTGTTGAACTGAGTTCAAGTCATTGTTGCTATAATGGATCTGGGTCCTGGATATCAGTCATCTGTATCATATGTACCTTTGGGAGCATTTTTAAATACTTGATTTTTTTGAGCTTCACTGCATAAAGAACTACAATTCAGTAGCTCTAGAATGGGGCTTAGGGAATATTTTCTTTAGGTTCTTCACTTGATCCTTGTTTGCTTACAGGTTTGAGAAACATCGTCCTAGTTTATTGTATTATTCCATTGTATTTTATGAGAAAGTTGCCCCCTAGAGTTTATAATTTATTGTTTAAGTTTTATGAGTTATCTATACTGAATTATGTATATATTTATATGTCACTCTTTCGGTACGGTGCATGTGTAGAAATATCTTTAAGTGTCTCATATGGAAGGTCTGTAAACTTTTTGTTAATCAACTGAAAAAAATGCCCATCTAAAAAGGAGTGTTCTTAAATAAATAGTAATAATATTGTTGGAAATTTGCATTTAACTTTTTCTTTTTTAATAATAGTTTATTTTTGTATCATATTTTACTTTTTTTTTCATCTCAGTTGTAATCCCTGTGGGTTTCCCATCACCAAATCACCCATGTGCCATCACCATAGTCCAGTGCACTTCCCTC